TTTTTTTTTTTTTTTTCTCGAAGGGCTGTTACAGGATGTGTGCTTTTGCAGAAAGCCACAACCTTTTTTTAGACTAGAAAAGCATCAAGGAAGCACAAAATGAGAATTACAAGCAGGTCAGAAAATAGTAGGGAAGAAGGTAGGATTATTTTGGTTTGATTTATTGTGAGAATCTTTTTAAAAAAGGATGCACTTAAATAAAATGAGGGGGACAACTCAGGGAACTCAGAGTTTTTTTTTACGACTTACAAAAATAAAAATGTTTATTTATTTCACCCATGAACAGCTAAGACAAATTTAATGAGCAACATGATACACTGTGTTAGAATTTAAACTGACACAATTTTTAATAATTRCAATTGGTTCAAGAAAAAACTATTCATGTGACACTGACAGACACTTTAATTAGACTAAACAGCAAGTATTAAAAATTGTCTCATTTGACACTTTGACAAAAAAAAAAAGCCGACTTGGTGCTACTTTTGTTTCAGTTCATTTTTATGACCTCAGAACTGAGAAGCTGAACATGGGAAAGCACTCAGTGTGTTTGATTAGTTTTTGTTTTACGGCTCAGATTCAGCAGTATCAGCCATGGATTAAAACTCTGTAGGATGGTGTACAATGTGGGACTGGATCATAGTTAAACCTGTGTTTCAGTTCATTTCTGTCTAAAGCCAGTATCAGCAACTGAGGATGAGACCACCAAGACCCCAAGCACCAGGATCTATACAGCGCCTCAAGCAGGCGATGGGTCCACAGGAAGGTGGTCCCATGAATCATCAGGTTCTACTGGTGTGGCTCTCTCTACCCCCCAGGCCCAGATCTAACCTGAGGCTCTGGTATCCCTAGTCCTGGTTGAAGTACAGTGCTTTTCTGGTCTTCACTGTGAGAGTTGTTGAATCACACTTTGTCTAACCTCTCACCCTCAACTATTTTGTCTTGAGTGTAACTACGTCTGACAGCTTCTGGCATCATTGGAGCTCTCATACACCTCCACCACAACAGAGGCCGATCATGGAGCTGAAATATGCATAGAGTCACTGCACTCTTGTGCTTGTAGTTTGGACATTTAGGAGGCGAGTAGAATAAAGTTGATTAGGTTTGGACATCTGGTGAGAATGACTTCTGGACACCTTCTAAGGCAGTGTGTGGTTCTCAAACATTTTGAGTCTGGGGACCCCTTACAAAGGTAAAAAAAAAAAATTCCAGGGACGCCCTTATAAACCCCATTCTGTTTTAAAAACAGTTTACTGTCATTTTACCTCCTAAATGCCATGGGAATGTTATATTTTGTTTGGTTTAGTATGTTTGCACTACTAATGTTCTCCATGTGCATTTTCTAAAAAATAAAAATCACATGAACAWTTTATTGAAGATTTTTGAGGACCCCCAAGATACTACTAGCAGACCCCTGGGGGTCCTGGGAGCCCAGTTTGAGAACCTCTGTTCTGAGGGACATGTCCCACTGAAAGGATTTATTGGGGAACTGCAGGAAGTCCCTGCTGATGAGCTGGAGAAGATGCTGGGAAGCAAGAATTTTATTTTTGAGTCAAAAATGCAGCTTTGACTTTGAAATGAAAAAGCATTTCTGCTAATACATTTTAATTTTTTGATTTGACTTTTCAAAATGA